GGCAATTTCGGATTTGGACTCGCCAGGAGATGATGGATCGGTGTTTCGTAGCCGGCGCTGATGATACCTCGCAGATGTAACCACCGCACCCTTTTCGGACGAGACCACTTGCCGGTGATTATCGATTAAACGCATGCACGCTGCTTCTCCACGGCTCTCCTCGCTTTTCCTGCGAGTCCCCTCCTCTTTCTTTTCCTTCTTTGCTCGCTTTCGTTACGGGAACGCTCGACATCTGGCTCGCGCCTCGAGCATCCAACTTTCCGCTGAGGGATAAAAGGGCTTCGATTGTCGAAAGGTCGCGCGGCAGAAGCTCGCGATTTCACCTACGGAAGCAGACGCTGTAAATAGACGTTGGCAACGTTCGCTCGGGAAACTTTGACTAGCAGCGCGCGTCTTGTAACGAGCAATCTCGATAGGATTAAGATGCTGTTTACCCGAACAGAAAGCCGAGAGTTTGGGTTTACTTGGCGCAGTCGACGAGGGCGACGCGGTTTTACAACGAATAAACGCGTACGGACCATCGTAGAAGAACTTTGCGATATTCGAACCTTTCAATGATGAATTAACTGGTGATAAGATGGACTTACATTTTAAATTCATTGTAGTTTGATCAGTGTTTTAGTTTAATACCTGAAATACACAAGTGAAACATTTGTTTAATAAAGTAACTCGGTAACAGTTAAGGAACTAGCCCTGGTCTAGCCTTCTCGAGCCAACTGAGGTTATCGAGGTTTCCAGATAAAAATTAACATCCATATAGCAGAGGCGCGTGCGAGCCACTCGAGCACGCCGACTTCCGGAAATGTCGAACATATGTCGCCACTTCAGATTAATCCAAAGCTTTTACGACAATCTAATCAGCATCGCGGAATGAGAAATACATTTAACATAATCGATAAATCCTGCGCGGTTCCCTTAAATCCATTTCTATCCCACCTTCAAAGGTGAGTAAACACACGGCTTGAAACGATATGAACACGAGTGGAACCTTAATAGCTACCACGATTTGTCCAAAAATGATCATGCTTTCTAATTTATCGCGGTTTATGAAATCGTCCGGGGTTTATCATAAAGAGTTTGTTAAATACTCGTGAAATTATTTGTCTAGTGAGCAAGTTCTCTAATTCCGCAACAGGTAGAAATGCAGAGTCCAATGAAAATCTCGATTAAAATTGATGTCTATCGAAACTAGTGTCAATCAAAATGAACGTTAACCAAAATTAGCGTTGTTGAATTCCGATCAATAAAATTCTTTCTACGAAGAAACATCACTTTTCCAAACGAATATCTGAAATGACCACTATCCGACATTGTCCTTCGACCGAGCAGCGGTCGTTGGGGATCGACTGGGCCGTGGGGCTTTCGTCGAGAGTTTTGTTGCCAAGTTGAAAGTCAGTCGAGCGAGTTAGAACACGCCCGAGGAGGCGCAAGCTCCTTCGGCTTTATAAATAATAAATTTGCGTGAAAACAGCCTGTGAGACAAGAGGAACGAAGACGAAACGAGTACGAGACGGAAAAGAAGAAACGAGAGGCGAGAGAGCTTCGCTTTGAGAGGGTTGAGGAGAAGGGGGCTGATGGCAGAGTCGGGGCAACGAGGGAGACAGAGACGACTGGTAATAAAGAGCAGGCAGTAAGAGCGGCGAAGTGACGTCCTGTGTCGTGGAGTCATAAACTGGGCCCCAGGATCTCAGGCTTACACTCTTATTAAAACGTCGTCCTGCATATTGACGGTTATTGATCACCTTTCGCGCACCTCGCCGCTTTTACGATACATGGGTCCGTGTCACGTCGAAAACCACGGACACCAGCGCCGTTCCAAAAATGTTCCACGATATTCCTGGGTGAAAATGCGCATTTGTTCGTATGTCCGAGTCGATATAAAGATTCGCAAGAACGGTAAGGCGACTCAAATACAGTTACGACTCGTGAAAGGAATATACACGTTGAACTTTCGTTCAACCATGTATTCCATGGAAAACATCCTTTATTCTCGATGCTCGACATCGTTGTTTCTTTGTAAATAAACAAGATTAGCAAAAGACGCAGTATTTCAGGAAAAAAAGTACATAAACGTGCCGATTAGACAGGAGAGATCAATCTGTGCATTATGCACAACTCTTCAAAATGTACTGAACTTGAATTGATGACATCAGTTCGCGCACTTTTTACTCTGTTGATAAAAAATCCAAACGCTTCCTGTCGGTACAACTGTACGATGGGTATCATCATTCCCTGTAGTCTCTTAGTTGGCTAACGAAACTTCCTGCAACTGATAATCCAGTTCTTTGCTAGTAACCGAATCAACGGTGCATAATAAACGTCACTGACGATACCGACTGCATTTCTGCAACGATCATCGCGTCACCACTCTATTACACCTGATAACTTGCATATCTATTGTATATGATTATACTTTATACATACCAGTATTTCTTTCTATTGTCGAATAGTCAATTCATAATTCGCCACAGTCGCCTGGAACAGAATAAATATATATTATTAATCGTTCCTCTATTCTTCAAATATAAACAAAAATCCGTAATTGGTCTTCTTCGTCTGATGTTGTCCTAGCTAGATATTAAAGAGATAATAAGCAGTAACGCAAGGTAGAAATACCAACGATTGATGAGAAACTTGTTTACGTTTAGTAACCTTACTTACTTCGATACATGTTTACAAGGACGATACAATATTTTTTGCTTTATAGCGCTACAATATATTAGTTAATATGTCAAATGTATCATTTTTATAAATAATTATTCAATAGTGCCATAGGTATCGACTCGGTTAGTGGCGCCATCGGTGAGGAAACGTCCAAGTTTGTAGTGAAAATAGTTCCAACCTTTACAGTAAGATAGCGCCACTGATATCTTTTAATTAATTATTCTTTATTTTTCATAAATGTATAATTAATACGATTCTTTGTTTTATAACACTACAATCTATAAGTTCAGACTGCGAGCCAAGTCCCACTATTTGCAATAAACGTAACGTAACGCACGTAACGTGGTAAACATAAGTAGGTAGGGCCAGGGCAGATCTCGTCTCCTTAGTTTTGGGTAGACGCGAATTGATGAATCTGTACCTGTAAATGGATCTGAAAAATCGTTGCGATACTGAATCAAGTGAAGCTTTTGTCCATTTGTTTCTGTTATTACTGCTATTTGTTTTCGATTTTTCGGGTCTCGACCAGTTACGTCATAATCGCCAGTGTCGTCGGCTTAGCCGATAAGTAGACTCTCGACGAACGTAACAGCCATTTTTAGTCGAATTGGATAGAATCGTAATTGTACCCCTGTTGTTCTTTTATGTTTTAATTTCTCATCAAATTTGATTCGTGACTTGCTAGCAACGTACGTTGAAATTTGGAAACACCAATGGAAAGGAAATAGCCCACGACGCCGGTAACTTAAAGCTTGGTTGCCGTTTTAACTAGGTAAGCAAAAATACTTCGTACTTTTTGAGACTTCGCAAACAAAAGGTGTTGAGGTATAGAAACACTTCGCTGCCGTATTGTTTCAATGACTTTTGTACAGAACAGTTGATCAGGGCATTTGATTTTTATTATGACAGAAGCTACGGCCAAACAATGGGCAATGCTGGGAGTAATCAACCGATTGGTCACCATCACGGTGGAACCAGCAGCAGAGACCATCGTCATAACAAAGACCATCCTCCTCCGTCGCCAGGAAAAGAAGGCCAAGCTTTTGTTTTCGATAAAAAGCCCAGCCAAAAATTAGTCTTTCAATCATCCAATGAGGAGGAAGAACCTTACTTTGCTAAGGTATACTAAATATCCTGTCACTGTAACCAAAGTTTTAACAACTCTTTGTCCAAATTTCGTATTATCTACTTTTATCCATAGGGAACTGGTCACCACGACAGAGATGACTTTGGTGCTCAACGTCCACGCTCCAATACTGTATCCGAAGGAACAAAAGTCACGGATAGCAAAGTGCTGCCAACAGTCTTCAAGTGGGAAGGAGGCGGTAAACAGGTTTACATTAGTGGAACTTTTACTGGTTGGAAGACTTTACCCATGGTTAAAAGTCATGGTGATTTTGTAACAATTATTGATTTACCTGAGGGAGAACATCAATACAAGTTCTTTGTTGACGGTGAATGGAGACATGACCCAGACATAGTAAGAATCTGTATTAATTCCAACATTCTAAAAACATGAAAGGACTTTTACATACTTTTTTAAATATTTGTTTTGCAGAAAATTGTTGATAACGGTATGGGTTCCAAGAACAATTTAGTGTCTGTGAGGAAGTCTGATTTCGAAGTTTTCCAAGCGCTCGCGAAAGACAGCGAGGGTGTCATTAGTAGCGCTCAAACAGAGTATGGTCAAGAAATTCCTCCTCACAAACCCTGGGAGAAAGTAGCTGGACCGCCGATATTGCCGCCGCATCTGCTGCAAGTTATTCTGAATAAAGACACACCCTTGTCTGTGAGTAGATTTTGGAAGCTATGTATGCATACAAATTTTAATGAAGTACGAAACTAGGTAATAACGTAATTTCAGTGCGAACCGACGCTTCTACCGGAACCAAACCACGTTATGTTGAATCATCTCTACGCTTTAAGTATCAAAGATAGCGTGATGGTTTTGTCGGCAACACATCGTTATCGTAAGAAATACGTTACAACTTTACTATACAAACCGATTTAAACTTTTGAATCATTCCTAATGTTATCGGCGATCACTAGTTACATCGAACCAATACATGTTTTGTAGGTAAGGTAAGAATATAAATTTTTAAAGGAGAAAACTATTTGAAAAACTGGCAGTATATGAACAATTTGTTGTGTCTGAAATGTAACATACTGTAATTATTATTTATTAAAGTAAACTATTTTACATTAGCCGTCTTCCAGATAACGCGAGTCATTCTTATTATATACAAATTTATTCAACACGCGCATTCGTTCACTATTCGTCCGAAAAACTCGGCCATATAGGATTATCATCTAGTTTTGAAACATCGATTACTTTATTTAAACAGTATTATCGGTTATCTCCTCTTGGTAAGCGTACGGTGATTCTGATCTTGTCTTGAGAAAATATGTTCCAGAAGCCGCTTTGTCGACGTGTTCTCCCATAAATGCAGTATCGGAATGGTTACAATTGCCACCCATAAATTGATCCCAAGTATTGCATTTCCTTGCCACAAATCCCGCTTTGGAGGCGATACTCTCCGTAAAGTACACATACGATCTTCCGTGACTGCATCCCTCTGAAATAAAGGAGACGGTGAGACAACGTACAGACGTACACAAAGGTAAACCGTATAAATTATAAAAATACATTACCTACTACTTCCGGAATACAACAGCAACCAGGTTGAATAGCCGTTCCCGCATTCGGATAAAAATCTGCGTTACCCACAGGTTGTAAAAACCCTAATACCCCGCCGCACGAATGAATAACATCGACGAACTTCGCGTCCGTAGAATCCAGTCGAGTTTTATCTGTTGTGAGCAAATGAAATCCTGGCAAAGCAGGATCTAAGCCGGTTATCCTCCCTAGGCGACCAGATGTCACCGAACTTCCTGCGTTCCCAGCTACGTGTGCTCCGAGAGAGTGTCCTTAATTAATTACGATTAAGCTGTAGCAATTGCAAAATAATAGTACATGATAATGCCCGTAATAATACGTACCAAGGAAGTGAACATTTTCAGTTTTCAAACCCGTTTGCGCGACCAAAAAATCGATAAATTCAGCAGCCGTTTTCCCTACTCTTTCCGTGTTCCGCATTGGTCCAAGGTAAAACGTGCTTGCAGCCAACGGTTGCCAGTCGACCATAACGACGTTGTAGTCACCAAAATTTAAATATGCTGTAGAGTTAGAGCAGATTTTGAAATAGATCCGTTTTCCGAGGATAATATTTATACAAAGATTTGTTGGAAATAAAGTACCTTCTTTCATGTTGACAAGACCACCGCTCATTGCGCTGGATTTCCATCCGTGCGTTATGAACTTCGTCTCTCTTGATGGATCGAAACTGGATCCGGAAAGTCCCACGGTGTCATTCGTATATAATTGAGTGCCATTTTGGGGCCCAGACCTTCGAAAGCATTGTTATCTCATACATAACGATCTTACACATTCAATTATATCGTAAAATGATTAATTACCGGGTGTACAGAATATAAGAGACTTGCGACTCATCAAAAATGCCTCGCGTTTCTGTTTCCGAATGTTTCAATACTGCTACCTGTGGCTGACCGTTTCCATCGGGCATGAAAATCCAATCTTCCCCATATCCGTCGTACTTATCTTTCAAACCACTATTCCACGCTTGACAGATTGTAAAATTGTAAAAAATAACAAGTGCCACGAATTGTGCCCATTTCCTTATTACGATCATCTTAGAACTCGCGAGGACTACAGCTCCGTGTATATACGTTGCGGAGTTTAAGAATGGTACTAAGGTAATTACGAAGGAATTCGGAATACGCGAGTGAAAATTTAGGTATGGAAACAGTCACGTTCCTATCGGTACTCCTGATCGGCTGGCGAAAACCGCAGGGTGGAACCTTCTTATAAACCCCGACAATATCATAATGGACGTTAGCGGACCCTCGAATGTCCCAGTTTCTTTTAGTTTATCTTCAACACCGTATCGTACGTGCGGAAATACTGTCAAGTGGTTTCTCGACGATGCTTTAAACATTGTAATCGTATTCAAAGAGGTGCAGGTTTTCGCCCAATTAACTTACGGGTACACCATGTCTTAACCGGATATTTTCGTATCGCGTAAAAGTAAACAGTAGCACATATATAACGTTGAAGGGGGTCTCCTAGTTCTCAGTACTGATAATTATTCTTAAATCTCTCTGATAAAGGCGTAGGAGGTGGTTAGTTAAACTTTTTTCTTAAATGAGGGTGGTTTAAAAAATCGATTTAATTATATGAACATAGAATATATTATCACACATCCGTCATGTAATACATCTTTTGTTGATACAAGTCGAAACAGCTTATTCTTTCTAATAATCTAATATACCGCGTACATTCAAATTCAATGATATTATTTTAATGTCCCCTGTATATTCGAGATAGGTCAAAAAGTAAAATCAACTCTGCGATGATCAACCGTACGTGATTATCAAAAAAATTGTGGTCGTTTCGTGATACCAAGTTCTCTTTTTTCTTGAAGATTCTGCAAAAATATATAGTATTTATTACTAGATTAACAACATAGTTTCTTAGTTGGGTTCGAACAAGAAACATTGCCTACCGTTTGGTAATGAATTTTCTCCGAATTCTCCGTCACCGAAACATCCTACTAACGGTACTTCGGGGAATAATTTTTTAAAAATGGACGACTCCACGTTCCATTCTTTGAACATACTTTGCCCACGTGCACAGCACGCAAACATAAATCCTATTGAATGTTTTTTTAGACACGTGTGACTCTTAAACGTTCTTAGTCGTTGTTCAATTAGTTCTTTAGTCTTACAATGTTTATCAACAACTATAGACCACGTGTTCATAGCTCCGACCAAAGCAACGGCAACGCAAGATGAAAATTCTCCACATCGACGATTTTTTTTATCTTTCGCGTTACATACTAATAACTCCCTGGCTACACCTCCCCATACAGAAAGTTCATCTGCTGCGTAACTAAATTTACGAAAAAAAATGATGTATATTTTAATACCTCCAAAGTAGTAATTAATATCAAAATTTTTACCATCGTTTTAGGGAACTCGTAATTTTTATTGCAGGAACACGTCCTCGTTGAACGCAAAACAGTAATAAACATTTAGATATACCAGAATTCTTTTGAGGTGTACTAAGAAATTGTTTTATTTCTTCGCTGTATTTGTCCACAGAATTTGATTGATTCTTCTCTGTCACCGTCTTCTCTCCAAAAGCAAATGTTTTAATGGTTACATCGGGTATTTCAGGCAAGAATGCACATACTATTTCGTCCACACCATTCTCAATTTCTAAATTATCGATAACTATGCCATATGTACCCAACGTGATAGTGTTGCAATTTGGTGGAAGAACTTTACAGTGGCAATCTTAAACAAATCAAATCATTAGTATTTGATGACCATAAATTTATGAATACTAAAGTACAATTGAGATAATAAATACCTGTTTCGAAAAGTGGTATACGATTAGATGGAAAAAATAATCCTAACACAGGTTTTATACGTAATTGTTTAATTATTTGTGTCTTAACGCGTCCCATGGTTATATGTTCTGTTAAATGTTCTATCGAATGAGTAGGACCTCTGGTTCGTTTTTCATTATTTGCCGCTTCTAACCAGGATCTGGAATTATAAAGCACTGTGTGCTAGCTCATTTTACGGAGCCTCACCGAAAACTGGCCAGGAAATCTCATAATTTATACGGAAGACGGAAAATTAGAGCAGCGCGCAGGGATTCTTCGTCTCGTAGAAGTAGACCTTTCTCAGGGATATAATGAGAAACAAGTTTTTCCGTCGTTTAAAGTACAGAGAAACAATGATAAATGGCTAATCGGGCTCGCACCTGGAAACCATCGCGGCGCTCGACAATTCCATTCCATTCAAATTCTTAAATATTATTCTCAGTACATCATAGGTTAAGTCCTGACCCGTGCATTTCCCGCTAACTTTCGCGCTCTCTTCAGCACTCGATTCGTCGGTGACATTTCCTCGAACTTTCTTTCGCGGTAAAGCCTCCATTTACGCGAACGTTCGAATTTGACAATCTTTACGATGTTTTTTACACAATATTTATCACATAAACCGACTCCAATCACTGCTTCGTGTTTGCCGTCGGCCGTCGCGTCCTGTCTGCTTGTGTCACGAACGACCATAATAAACAGATCCCCACGGTCCCCACAAATTTTTCCTCTTTCTGTAATTTCGACTTTTTTTCACAGTTGAAATTTCGATCGTGTTCGCCTTATAGTTAACGATAATAACGACAACAACGAACGATCATTGTTTAGGAAACTGATCCATTCGTAGAAATCGTGTTTTTACGATGAATTGTTGAATTTACATAGAAACTCTACCAGAAACACTGATGGCCTTTCGCCAGAAAAAAGAAATAAGGTGCATATAATGGAGAACGCCGCTACACTACAAAGTACTTAAACGATAACATCGTATTGACGATCGTGAAGAGTTGGAATGTAAATATCCTTTTGGTTGAACCACTAGTTTCGTCAGATTTTAATCAAATTGAAATTACAAATTGAAATGTCAGTTCTATCCGACGGTAGTGACAATCTTTGCCGTGTTTGTCTTGCAACAAATCAAAATAACCAAAATTTGTTCGGGACTAAACGAAATGATCAGGATAATACAGATACCTTCGACCTGCTTGAGAAATTCCGCTTGTGCAGCGGCGTTGAGGTCAGTTAACTGTTTAAAACAGTTTAATTTTCTAGCATTTTTCTGTTTTCTATTGCTGTACTAACAAAGGTTTCCATTGGTTAGATCATGGAGAACGATGGTTTACCCACTACTATTTGTATGGAATGTATGATCAAAGTTAACAATGCTCATGAATTGAGAAAACAATGCCAGCAATCTGATATCCGATTGAGAGAAGTATATGGAAAGCTTAAATCAATGTCCAATACAAATAGGCTTAAAACCACCAAAGTAAATATCCATGCATATCCAAAGAACCAGATTACATTTGTAAAATTGTAACCAATTATTTTCTCTTTAATAGGATCAATGTTGTCAGACCGATTATACCTTTACCTCGGAGTTTATTAAAATGGAAGCTAATATAGTTTCTGTACTGAATCGTGACACCTCTTCAACTGTAAATTGTGATCCTGATTCAGAAAGCATAGAGAAACTTAAAACAACTATCGAACCGAATAGCATAGAACAGAGTGAACTTAATAATCATCTAAATGATACTAATGTTAAATATAAACAAGCAGAATGTGAAAAAATTGTCATAGGAAAAGATGCTTATCGAACAAGGAGAACAACTATGTTCAAAAGAGTGACTTCTATGGAAAACTTAAAGAATCATAAGGAAAGACAGAGACAGTACATAAAAAAGAATGCAAATGTTAAGCGTGATATTGTAGAAAATGATTACTCTGTGAATGTTGAGGATACAAATTCTCAGAATTCTTACACATGTTCAAAATGTAAGAGGTATTATTCCAGCAAAAAGTCTTTGGACAAACACATAGCAACTCATAATGAGAAACAATTTACTTGTGAGAAATGTGATAAACAATTTATCGAATTGGATGAATTGGTAAAGCATAACAAATTACACAAAGTTAAAGAGAAACTTAAACCTGTACTATGTAGAATATGTAATAAAAATTTCAAAAAAATGGATACTATGGTACGACATTTAAATGTTCATAAAAGAGCTAATCCAAAAGAAGTTTTGTCTATTCTAAAAGAAATTAGGGACAGACGAAAATTAGAAAATAACGGTGAACAGAAAGAAACGGTTACCGAAATTGGTGTTAATAGTAAAAGGAAAGAAACTGAAGAAGAATATATAAATAATAAATATACATCAAAGATGTTGAAGAGTTGTGAACGTACAAGTTCTAATTGTTGTTTATCAAATACCGATGTTGATATTAACGAAGTATTCGACGCTTTCGATGACGCGACATCTCATCGATGTAAACATTGTAATAAATGTTATCAGACTAACGAGTTGCTTCAAGAACATGTACTGATTCATACTGAAAAAAGGTTCATTTGTAATGTGTGCAATATGAAATTTTTCCGTCAAGATAGGTTAGAAAGTCATAAAACTCGCTACGGACACAACAAAGACAAAGCGTCTTTAGAAACGCAGAAACCATCCGATGATAAGTCGGCGATTAAATTAATAAACAGCTGGATAAAAGAAGAGTTGGATTCGGATAATGAAGAGAAGGGATTCCCTTGTAAGATTTGTGGAAAATCATACGACACTAAAAGATCTCTATTAAAACATGAGCTAAACACGCACAATTCACAAGAAGAAGGCTGTATGAATTGCGGCGACACGTGTAACTGCGATGTAAAGGATAAAGATCAACAGAAAACTAACGAAATATCTAAACCGTATCGATGCGATGAATGCAACAAATCCTTTGAAAAGGAAATCAAATTGCAGAGGCACATAAGAATTCACGAACGCGTCAAAGAACAGGAAGACGCAAATTTCAAGCGATTCTTGTGTCATATATGCAGTAAAACGTTTAGACAAAATACAGGTCTCATGTTTCATATGAGAACGCACACAGGCTATAAACCTCATGTTTGCAAGTACTGTGGACGAGGCTTCACGTCTAACTCGAATTGTATAAATCACGAAAGAACGCATACTGGTGATAGACCGTTCGTTTGTCATTTTTGCAGTGCTGCTTTTGCCAAATCGTGTACTTTAAAAGCACACATTACAACGCATACTGGCGAAGCCAATTACCATTGCAAAACATGTGGAAAATCGTTTAGGAGGCTGAAGTACTTGAAAGAACACAGATTTACGCATACAGGTGAAAAACCGTATGCTTGTAAAATTTGCGGCACGGCGTACAGCCATAACGGTAGTTTATTCGTCCACGAAAAAAAATGTAAAGCTCAGTATCAAACCGCGCAGAATTATTGCCAATCAGAGACGTCTTCACCAAGCGTGACCCCTATTATCACAATTTTACCTCAAACACATCTGAATGAAATGATCGTTCCGTTGAATATTCAGGGTAATAAAACGTACGTAAACGATATTCAGAGAATAAGTTCCCCGAGTATGGACAGCGTTAGTCCTGTTGGCACTCCAGATTTACATGTTCATCCTAATTCGGATGCTTCCGATGTTTCCTTGACCGTCAAGGACTTCGCTTTCATCGGGCACATGTTTCAATCGTAAGACGATTCAAATGAATAATCGACGCTCGAATTAAAAATGTTTCTGTGATAAATGTTCATTTCGCGAACGTATTTTGACTATCGAACGAACTGTATTTCGCATTTTAAGAAAACAAGTGTAGCAAATGGGTGAAACGTTTGTTATCCGTTTTTTAACAAGCACGGCACACTGTATATTGTATTTTATATATTATAGGACGCGGGAGAATGGGTCAATTTTGACTTTACATCTTTAGTTCGCACAATATAACGCAAGTAGTATTCGTACGATATAGCATCCGAATATTATCGCTGTATAAAGGAATAAAGGTAGCCTGTAAAATAAAACAACAAAAGTCAACCACTCTTTTTTTTATTAGATAGATATTTATTAATTTAGAATTCTATTCATTATTATGGTGTTTTTCTTGACCGACGGTAGTTAAAAATAGTTTATCGCCATCTGCAATGGTTGGACGTTCTGAATTATCGATGCGTCGTGAACAAACTATAAAGTACAGGATAGTGTTTAGTGGTGCGTAGTTTCACCACAGACGAGGTACACTCGTCTGTGGTTTCGTATTGAATCCAGTCAGTCTAAACGTATAGCGTTTGTAATGTAAGCACATTTAATTCACACAAAGTGCAATGAAGTATAGTGAAACTAGTGAAGAATATTTTACTTTAAAATGGTACGTGGCAAGATTTTCAGTATTGCATTCATTTAAGCACGTAAAAGGTAGGCAAGTACCCAAATTGAATCACTATTTCAAAAGATTTGTACGTGTTGCAGATCGAATTCGCAACAATTCTACGATGACAGTATCTGCTCGATAGTTAAATTCACATTCACGCGGGATATTTGTATTAGGTTTATACATATTTCATTGGCAGTTTTTATGTGATTTCATCAGTAGTATTAATGCGTCGTCGCCGCTTCCATTTTTTTGATAGTATTCCATTTAGTCGCTAAATAAAATCCGACGATGAAAATCGTGCGTTAGCAGACATGTGGTTAGAAATTGTAGATTATTTGAAAGATGCGTCTTTGGTCGCGAAGATTCAGGAAGCGTTTGGTGTCAGAATACATTATCGACAAAATTTCAAAGAACAACACGAGGAAGATTTGTGTAATCGGACCCATGCAATTGCTTCTCAAAAACTTGAACGTGACTTAAATAATTCTCCGTCGAATCGTGGCGTGTCGAAGGAAAATGGTCATGTTTCGATCGAGAGAAAATCCATCAATTTGGCGAATACCTGTTCATCGAACGATGAACAAAACCGGTTATTTTCGGTCGCCAGTAACTCGAATTATACCATATCGAATTACTTTTGGTATTATTTGTTTCTATTTGGAACTGAATTAGGAGATGAAATATTTTATTCTACGTTTATACCTTTTTGGTTTTGGAATATTGATGGTGCTGTGGGTAGACGAATTGTCTTAGTATGGTGTATTGTTATGACCACAGGTAAATTAATGTCTAGTAGAACAGAATTCGTTTTGTACAAAAACTCGCTATTGTTGCAGTATAAAATTATTCGTTTAGGTCAAATGTTAAAAGATGTTATATGTTGGCCACGACCAGCATGTCCACCAGCAATTCGGTTGCAAACAAAATGGTCAGAAGAATACGGAATGCCATCTACTCATGCTATGATTGGTATATCAATTCCATTCAGTGTAGTATTATTTACAATGAATAGATATATTTACTCTCTTTCTATTGGCTGGACAGTTGCTTTTCTTTGGTAAGTGATACATTATGCCTTAACAGCAGGTTCACGAAGTTAATAAGGAACTTGAAGTATAACTATCTTTGTGTGTTTGAAAGGTGTACACTTGTGTGTATGAGCAGGCTCTATTTGGGCATGCATACAGTGTTAGACATTCTAGCAGGCTTAATACTAGCCATTGCATTAATGATTCCACTACTACCTTTAGTGGATGTAATAGATGATTATATCGTTTGCAATACTTGGGCTTTAGTAATTTTAATTGCCATTAGTATATGTGTTATAGTTTATTATCCCTGCAGTAAAAAATGGACACCAACCAGGTAATAAATAAATAATTATATTCTACAAGTGCATTGATGTAAATGCAAATAATCACTTTTTTATTACAGAGGTGACACTAGTATGGTGGTGTCTGTAACAACTGGGGTTCATTTAGGAGCATGGCTTAATTCCAGTACTGGAGCCATGATAACTCCTGTGAAGCAGCCACCATATCTGATCACCTGGCCTTCATACTCAATGTTTGGTTGCATGATACTTAGAACAGTACTTGGATTTTGCAGTATTCTTGCAATAAGAACTGTTTGCAAACCTCTTACCTATGGGACAATGTGTGCCATGTTAAGAATTAATTCCAAGGACCTTATGAAAAGTAGAAATTATTCTGAAAATAAAAATAAGGTTCTTGTTGATCTAGTCCACAAGTATGTAACTTGTTTTATGATAGGTGTAAATACAGAGTATTTCTTGCCAAATGTTTTTGCTATGATTGGAATCGAACGATCAACGTTTTATACAGACATATAAAATGATCATTAATTTACGAACATTAATTACAAGAATGGCATATCAAACTTCCTGAACTGACGCATTTCTATTGATGCAGTCTGCCATAAAATTTAATCCTAATCATCATATATACATACAACTACATTCCAATACCAGTGTTTGTGATATTGTTTTTACGCACATAAAATAGTTACATGTCATTACTGGAGATTGTTTTGATATTCTGTACTATTTCTTATACCATGGAGTATAAGTTATATTTTTCACAATTGTTACAGATATTCAATCTATACTTATGTTGTTAGTATACAGATTTTCGTATAACACTGTAGACTTGACAGTAATCACGCTATTCACGCACATTGAAGCCTACTATTTTTAATAAAAAGAGATATAATTTGCAATAGAAAATACTGCTATTTACATTTGACATGGTGTGAAATGTAATTAATGTTACGATGTTTCATGTTTGTTAATATCATACATGAAACAGGTTTTTGTTATAATAAAACAATTAATAAAAGTACTCAACTTGTATTTATTATTTATTAATTCTGTACATTGTCTAAAGCACTTCGCACAGGCATATCTAATCTTAATACCTATAAAAGTTTTGAATAGTATGCATGTTAGTTCAACACGAAACATGTTTCTAACAAAACTAATTTTACAATAAACTATTATGTGTCTTACCCTGAGATCCTTATCTAGAAGACATTTTACACGCGTTATGTTTATGGTATATGGAACTGAAAGGTCGTATGCTAGAGTAGTGTTATCAACAGTAATTACAATACGATTTTCGTCCAGAAGTACTTCCACATCTTTGCCAGTAGTCTATACAAAATGTAAGAGTTCAGTTTTGTTTATTAGCAACTGTAAATAAAATGTTGACTTACCCCTTTAGGAACTTGAAATAAGCCAATCAAATGAGTTGCTGGTCCTTTTAAAGGTTGTTTTAATAACACATAATTCAACTTTGGTTCTATAGAGACATTTTCTGATTGAATAACTTTATTTTCTTCTTTATGAATGTTTTTAATAGGAGACTCAATCTCTGTAATAAGTGGTTTTTTAACTTGTGAATGCATTCGTGGTTCACGATTTTCAATTCTATGCTGTTGTATTTTTCCCATAGCCTATGATAATCAACAAAATCTATAAATTAATTTCACTTGATTAATGTATAATTACAGAACAATCATACCTTACGATTTTTAAGTATCACATAATTTTCAACATTTAAAGTCTTGTTAAACTTATCGGACACCGCACTTATTGTAACTTGTATAGTAAACAATAAAAAATTCTTCCTGTTCTCACATTTTTTGAAATATGTTGTATTATATGCAACGTCATATATTGTACAAGGTGATCCACCTACAATTTTAAACAAATTATGCCAAATATTACTTCTACTAAAATGTATGTGCAAAATTTAGGCACCCCTATCAACTTCAATCCTTTCACTGCCAATACTCAGAGGTACAAAATAATTTGGATTTTCCTCTAATAATAACTCGACAAGCTTTTCATCAGATATATCCTCTGGTGCTGGTATTTTATCAGATGTACATATATTCAAAAAAACTTTTTCTCCACTGTCAGTCTTTGTTTTTACGCATATACCTACAATATAAATTATCAATTTGATGCAAGTAATTCTTATTACTCTGCAATGATAAGATATTACCAGGTGCAGGTTGAATAATAAAGAAAGGCTTTGAATCAGGTTGTTTGGTTATACCGTCGATCTGTGATACATTTTCCTAGGAATTTGTAAAAACAATTATGCTGTGCAAATTAATTTTAGCATAATGTTTACACAAATATGTATACTCACAGGTAGTGTCAAGATTTTTGTTAATATTGTTTCGTCGACGTCAAGGAACGTTTTGTCATTCATGATGGTATAATATTATTATTGACACGTAATACTTCTAGTTGAATGTATACAGAAGTCCGTTAAATCATAAACAATATTCGAGAAACAAAATTTAATAACGTTTAACCTTGTTTTTAGAAATACAAATATCAACGAAAAGTTGAGGTTTTCTCCACTGCTGTCTTTGGAGCGCGAGATGCGAGAAAGTGGTGCGATAAGACGTGCTAAGTGTTTCGCGAATAATTGCGTATGTATATTGAATCTATTGTCTTCTAATCGCCACTAATCATAATTAATATTCTTTTTTATTCTCTATTAGTGCTGTCATCCGATATTAATAGATATTTAGCTATAAATTCAATCAGAATCGTGAGAGAAGTTCGAACATTTTCGCGCTCTTTTCTTCAACTTGATTTCAATTGATTCTGTGCCTCTATAACTTAAATTACAATATATTGCGAGTTAGTTTGAGTTTGAATGTTGTTTAATGATAATGTGGGTGTATTTGTACTAACAAATGTGCTTTAAACTTGACAATTTCTGGGAATTTCTGTTCTAGACTACCGATTGAAATTCAGGCGCGAGTTTGGCGTCACCTACGCCATGATGGGTTCTTAAAATATTTATTTATGATTTTACAGTCTTTCGAAATAATAGAAATAATTACGATGATATCTGAAACCATTAAAAATTCTGGCCCTAAAACTTTCCATTTTTCTTTATGTTTTATATTAAGCTAGGATGATTATTAATTGGTAGTAAGTAAAAGTAGGAAATTATACAAGTTTTCAGTGTTTGTTAAGCTTTGCATGAGTCTTTATTGTTCAGGTACTCATTTGGTGTCAATCGCATAATAAAATAATCTTAACATTAAATTACAATATAGCTACAAGTATTTAATGTAAAATTAAGAATTTATTATGAGATTCTTTATTTAGTTTCCCACTCAATACTTTTAATTGGTATCATAATTCTCAGTTAAAATACAATTGATTTATTTATGACTTACAATAATGGCTATAACAAGTTTTTTGTGCTCATAAAATAGAGCAATTAGTTTATAAATGTATAATAATACATGTCCCTGTACAGCATAAATCAATGCGTGATGATAACGTGATGAAATTACATTACAATGATCATTTATTAATGTATATGGATTTTTTTATATGATACTACAGCTTTAACTATCATCGTAAAATCTAACAAAACATAAGAACATTGTGAGGTATATTTGTAATTGTAATAACATTTTCTAAATTATCGCGGTATAAAAGAAATGAACGTTAGTGTACAAATGCTTTATAAAATTACATAGTATGCACACATAAAATGCATACTAAAGATTACTAACGCCCGCGTCTCGCAAATAATTCTACAAATTGTCAATGTAATATTCATTCTATTTCTATAATGATTATGCATTCGAATGATAATGGCAACATGTTCCAAATTTATATGCATATAAAATTACAAAAAGATACGTATTTACAATGATGGAGTAGTTTTCTATAACTAAATATCTTCAGTCGTTGTGTATTGTTTGTTTTAAATATTTATCTGTATTATTTAACCTTCCTGAACTCTAGTAACCCCTTCGCTACATAAATATTCACGATGGTCTAGGAGGTGACGAACATTATCTGAATCTAAGAACTGCATAGAGAGGTATGATATGGCTGATGCTAATTACGGAAAGATGATCGAATCTCGTGTTCAATGATCAGTGAAACCTCCAAGTTCAGAAAGGTTAAAAACTAAATAAATTTAAACAATAGACAAGTTAGATGAGTCACTCTTATAAAATAAATATTTTTGGCATTGCACCACATACCAACAGCTATCGCCACTCGTTTGAAAGTACACATATGTACTGATACAAATTTCAAGATTGAAATTAATTAATCAGGAATATCCCACATATCTGAAAGAGATCTGACAATATTCAGAAATAGCACATCTTACCTAAAGTGTATCGTCTCTTGTTTGAAAGATTTTTGTTCTTTCGTCTCAACTATACCCGTTTTAAGTAAAATTTGACTATTTGTAAATATTGAAACATACAAGAACCGCCTATTAAGCAATGATTTCTGAGGTTCCACTTTGAATAAGTTTAATCCTGAAGATCTTGTGTCAGTCCTTCTGCGCCTCGTTATACAGTGGTACATTGTGATTTATTAATAAGATTATTCTGTATCAATTCTTCCGGCGAAAATTTATGCTTCGCGATGCCATTTAATTCAGCTACTTTTTTAGAGCCATTTTCTTCGCCATTTATTTTATTCTCATCGTGCATAAATATTTTCAAGCTATCCGCTGGTGGAGTGCTTGCCGCGGGTGGCGTCTCAGGGCCACCAACGGGATAAATAAGTTCTTTCTTTTCATCGTTGATTCGAATACTCGGTTGATGCTCCTCAAAAATGTTCCTTTTAACTGTATTATTTGCAAATTTTGGGGAGTGTGGTAGCGCGTATCGCAATTTATCCCAGAACCACGGGTCCCCCCACTTCACATATGTGTTCATGCTCAAGTATGCCTTAAGTTCTGGATCCAAGTCATCTGTGGAACCTATCTCACCGTATATAATTAGAATAACTCTTGCTCTGCCTTCGTTGAGTGCCTGACAGTGGGCGGCTCTGAATTCCATTCGTCCCCAAACACTTTCTAAAAAGTTTGGCGACAAAATTACTATAGTTCTCCTCGAATCGTCGACGGAACGAGCGATTTGCGTTGGTATCCACTCCCCAGCTATCCAGTCACGGAAATGGAGACACAATTTAAATGGTCTCGGGCCATTTTCCAATTTCGATACCAATTCATTCACAACAAAGTCTTCGTCTTTGTGCGAGTAACTTATGAACGCGTCGTACAATTTATCCTTATCTAATTCGTCTTCGGTTATCAACCATAAGCAAAGTTGATGCGCGTACAACCACACTTTAATTTCTCGTTGGTATCTATAGTACAATGCTGCTAACAGACCAATGATCAATCCCGTGAACGCTATTGCCAGACTGATTCCTATGATCATCGCGATGTCTGCTGGACAAAAATCTGTTGCTGTCATCTTTAACATTGGAATGGTCATATCCTTGCAAGTGATCATCGAGGGAACGGAAATTTTCGCGACTCTGGTTTGAACGAAGTTTAAAAAGTCTCTGTCGTCGCAATTGCATGTCCACGGATTTTCATGTAGCGTAAGCATTTTTAAGTTAGTAGAATTCTTCATAAAGTGCAAAACGTTGGAATCTATTTTGCTGATGTTATTTTTATGCAGTTCCAAGACCTGAAACATTGAAAATAAATATCGTTAGATTTAGCTAGTTGAATCGTTGGTAATTTCAGAATAATTTTATTCACCTCTATACTCGATGGCAATTCGTCCAATGTTATGTTAGATATACCAGTGTTCGATAAGAGCAGTTTAGAAACAGAAACATTTGTCAGACCAATGTCTGTCAGAGGCAACATTTTGTTCAATTTATTTCCAGTCATGTTTAATTCGACTTGATAAGAAGGTAAAGTTCTAATATTACGCGGTACACTTGTTAGATTTTTGTAGGAACAGTCGATCAAGAATGTTTTGTCGTACGGTTTCTTCCAACACGTGCAATGTTTTGGACAGGGTTCAACTACTTGGCACTTGAATGATTGTAACTTCAAGTCTGTCATGGTTATACTTTCAATCCATTCTGGACTTTTGCATCTCAAGTCGCCTGGTATTATGTGGAAGTAGTTTTGTACGTTGGGATGCATTTCTCCGTTCAAATAACGAAGGAAATCGTACAAATCGCAATCGCAAACTATGGGATTATCTTCGATTAGTATTATTACGTCGCGCTGGCTGCTTTGATAACCAGCTATCGTTTCAGCATCTTTCAGATTGATGTGTCGTATGTTGTTATGTGTTAGATCCACTTTAATATTTTTGGAAATAAACTGCAGATCTAAAGTCTGAAATGTTTTACATAAATCATTATATATATAATAAACGTTAATTATTCAGTTATTAATGAATGTTTTTTACAAGTACTTACCGATATGTTAGATATCTGGTTGTAACTGAGATCCAACAGTCTCAAATTCGAGGTGTTTAAAATCCAATCTCCGAATATTTCAGAGATTTCGTTTCGCGCTAGATGCAATTCTTCTAGATCGGTACAAGTCTGGAACGGCGATATCCTTCCGAATTCGTGACGACGAGATGACAACGGATTGCTAAACGAGAGCTGATTGTCAGAAAATATCGCAATTCGTAGGCTCTCGAGAGAATTAAAGCTAGTGTCTTCTATTATCTTCAACTTGTTCCCCTTCATATCTAATACTTGTAGCGATTTTAAACGTCTGAAAAGCTTCCTGCAACGATTGAAACAATTTGTTAGGAAAATATCGATACTAGGGATACTGAGAATAGAATTCTCCAAGGTAAGCTATCAATGGGCGTACCTAGATATCGAAGTGATGTGATTTTGAGACAAATTCAACCTGATCAAATTCGGAGTGTCCAAGAAAATGTCGTCAGGGAGTGACGTTAGCTCGTTGTACCAAAGGTCCAGCAGGGATAGCTCGTGCAAGCCTCTGAAAATGTCCTTTGGAAGCGACGTCAGATAATTCCTCTCCAAACTGATATTCTTCAACGAATGACAGCCCCAAAACAGATTCTCTGGCAGCGTGACATGTCCACTGCTCCTAAGCTGCACCGCTTCCAGGTATGTCAGATTGGCGAACAATCCTTCAGGCAAAGTCGTCATGTTTTTCTTGTTACCATAAAGAAGCACGGTTCTCAGCTTAGTGTTGTGTCTCAGCAAACCCACTGGCAACGACGTAAAGTTGTTCCCAAACAAATTCAACACCTCCAAATTCTCAAGCTTCTCAAAAATATTTTCTGGCAAGGTGAGCAAATCGTTAGAATTGAGATCCAAAGATTTCAAGGACACGAGCTTGTCGAAGACGCCTGGTTGAATCTCCGTGAACATGTTCTGCCACAAGTTCAGCAATTGCAGATTTGCCAAGTCGTCGAACACACCTGGCTCGAAGCTAGTCATTCTATTGCGACCCAGCTCGAGGATCTTCAAGTTCGGTACGTTCTTGAAGACGCCCAGAGGCAAACGCACGTTGTTATCCCTCAGATCGAGCCAAATGAGCTTGGGAACATCGGCGAACAGGTCGTTGTTGATGTTGGCGATGTTGTTCGTCG